TATGCTGGAGTGAGCATTAGTCTCCGTGCTCTTCTAAACATTTCACAATAATTCATTGTGTTTGGTGCTTGTAGATTGAGTGCGACTGGAGTGGTAGAGGCAGTGGTTGGGGAAGCGGTTGAGGCATTGGGTGAGGCATTGGGTGAGGCAGTGGGTGAGGCAGTGGGTGAGGCAGTGGGTGAGGCAGCAGTTGAGGCAGTGGTTGAGGCAGTGGGTGAGGCAGCGGTTGAGGAAGCGGTTGAGGCAGTGGGTGAGGCAGTGGTCGAGGCAGTGGTCGAGGCAGTGGTATTTAATAACATACATAATAATAATAATAATAATAAATGTTATTAGTAATATGTATTATTATTTATAACATTAAATACCACTGCCTCTACCACTGCCTCAACCACTGCCTCAACCTCTTCCCCAACGACTGCCTCTACCACTCCAGTCGCACTCAATCTACAAGCACCAAACACAATGAATTATTGTGAAATGTTTGGAAGAGCACGAAGACTAATGCTCACTCCAGCATAAACAAAGCCACACTGATGATGTGTCAACCACTCCTCCGTATTTTTGTACAATTTCTTTCTTCAATTCTGTCGTATTTATTATAATTATTATTATTATTAATTATTATTAGTACTACTATTGTTATTATTAGCAGTAGCAGAAATGTTTGATTCTTTGCTGTGTTCAAGAGTCAACACATTATGTCACCATCCAATACCTGTCCGAACAGTCATTCCAATATGCAATCATGAATGGGTTTACATTATTTATACTGTAGTTTAATAGCAAATAATGAACAAACAAAACACTCACCACACTGGTGGGAGGGCTGGCTGCCAGTTGGGGGGGGTCGGAGGGAGGGTAGTAGGGACTCGCAGGTGGCGGGAAACTTAAATATGATTTGGCGGCTGGGAATTTGACGGTTGGTAATTCGCGAATGTGTGAAGCCCGCGAAAGTTGAAAACGTGAATGTTGAGGGAGACCTGTAATGTAGATCTTAATACTACTGATTACGAAAAGGATTTAGGAGTTCTGGTTAGCAGTAACCTAAAACCAAGACAACAGTGCATTAGTGTTCGCAATAAAGCTAACAGAATTCTTGGCTTCATATCTAGAAGTATAAATAATAGAAGTCCTCAGGTTGTTCAACTCTATATATCCTTGGTTAGGCCTCATTTAGACTATGATGCTCAGTTCTGGTCACCGTATTACAGAATGGATATAAATGCTCTGTATAACGTACAAAGGAGGATGACAAAGATGATCCCATGTATCAGAAATCTTCCCTATGAAGATAGACTGAAGGCCCTGAATCTGCACTCTCTCGAAAGGCATAGAATTAGGGGGGATATGATCGAGGTGTATAAATGGAAAACAGGAATAAATAAAGGGGATGTAAATAGTGTGCTGAAAATTTCCAGCCAAGACAGGACTCACAGCAATGGTTTCAAGTTGGAAAAATTCAGATTCAGGAAGGATATAGGAAAGTACTGGTTTGGTAATAGAGTTGTGGATGAGTGGAACAAGCTCCCGAGTACAGTTATTGAGGCTAAAACGTTGTGTAGTTTTAAAAATAGGTTAGATAAATACATGAGTGGGTGTGGGTGGGTGTGAGTTGGACCTGACTAGCTTGTGCTGCTGGGTCTGGTACAGTGCTCCATCCTTGAGTGGGGATGACCAGACTGGGTGGGTCATTGGGATAATCCGGGGGGTGGGTCATTGGTCTTATCCGAGGGGGGTGGGTCATTGGTCTTATCCGAGGGGGGGGGGACATGGACCTGCTCTGCATGGGTCAGTAGGCCTGTTGCAGTGTTCCTTCTTTCTTATGTTCTTATGTACATTCCCCTCTTTGCCTCCAAGGAGAAAGTTCTTTGTCTCCACAGACTCCTAAGTGCACCGCTCACCCTTTTCCTCTCGTCAATTCTATGATTCACCTCATCTTTCATAGACCCATCCGCTGACACGTCCACTCCCAAATATCTGAATATATTCACCTCCTCCATACTCTCTCCCTCCAATCTGATATCCAATCTTTCATCACCTAATCTTTTTGTTATCCTCATAACCTTACTCTTTCCTGTATTCACTTTTAATTTTCTTCTTTTGCATACCCTACCAACTTCATCCACCAACCTCTGCAACTTCTCTTCAGAATCTCCCAAGAGCACAGTGTCATCAGCAAAGAGCAACTGTGACAACTCCCACTTTATGTGTTTAGTAATACAATACAATAATAATAATAATAATATACGTATAATAATATACAATAATAATAACTAATATATGTATAATAATAATAACATATATAATAATAGTGTACTACATATAATAATTATAATAATAGACGGCTTCAAAAGGCCATCACTAGATGGCAGTGATTACCACAACAAAGAGGGAGCGGTTGTGGCCGCCTCCACCTGTTACATAATGACATTTTATTCATTCTAGAGTATATATCATGTTTCTATGTTATTTATATTGTTTGTTATGTCACATTAGATGAACTGTGATAGATAAATAAGCCGTACAGATGATATTAGCGAAATTATTCATGAAGTATTTTGCCCGGTCTCCAGACAAATTCTCATCCACCACTGACACTGCCCATACCACTACATGAATGACATATTTTATTCATTTTAGAGTATATATCAGGTTTCTATGTTATTTATATTGTTTATTATGTCATATTAGACGAAGTGAGATAGATAAATAAGCCAAGGAGTTGATATTAGCGAAATTATTGAAGTACAGAATTCCACTGGAATGGATTAATTGCATTTCAATTAATTTAAATGAGGAAAATTGACTCAGCAAATGAGCAAATCCAGTTGCGAGCAAGGTCATGGAACGGATTAAACTCGCAAGTAGAGGTTCCACTGTATTAACATAATATACGACATTTAATATGCCCAAGAGATAACATATTATTAATGTGGCATCAAGAGTAGAGAGACTCTTAGTGATTTTAATGTGTACCTGCACACCAGCACAGTGTGTATGTATATTTAGGTACAGGTACGCATAAGTATAATTATCAGAGCACATATAAAATACGCAATAACTTTAAAACACTTGAAATTTTGGAAAGTTTCCAGACATAAGAGAGAGGTGCTCACGGAGAACATAAAGAAACCGGGTGTGGCGTGCCATAGAAAGGCCACTCGCTGTATAGCAAGTTTTGGTCACAATTTGAAATCACCATATTAGCGGAACACTGTATGGCGAAACACCATAAAGCGGGGTCCTAGTGTATCACTGAAATTAGGGCCATCTTTTTGAAACACCTTGTATATATAGTGCTTACAAAAATCAAACCTCTCCTTTATTATGAAAATCATTAAATAAGCAACAATATAAACAGAACAAAAAACTAATACTCCATTAATACTTACATTAATATTTTGTCGTCTCTAACTTGTCCTTGATGACCAGTGAAATCATTTGAGTATGCTTTCTTGAAGCAATCCTTTTACTAATCACTTGACCCATATGTCCTTGGTCTCCTGCTGCAGGTACGACTTGGATGAAATGTGACAAGTTTTTTTTTTTTTCCATAATATTCTAGGCATTCTCAATAGGACTGAAGTCCTGACTATTCCCTGGCCACTGTAAAACCTCACGGTGTCTCAGCAAGCCACTTGGTTACATTTTTGGCCTTGTAACAGGAGGTGCTATCATGCTTAAAGGTTGTCCTCAAGAATGGCGACGTAGCAGTCAGTATTCATCATAACATTTCGGGGAAGACAGTACAAACCCCCACAACCAAGTAAACCACTAAAGCAAACCCAAACTATGATGCATTGTGGATGCTTTACAGTGCTCATTGTGTATACAGGGTTGTACCTGCTCATGGAGGAGGGACACCTCACCCTGTTTTGATGACCATGAATGCACTGATATGTGGATTCATCTGACCAGATAACTTTTTTGCAGAAATCAACACACTAATGCACATATTTCCTGGCAAACTACATGTGTTCCTTCTTCACACAGCATGAGTAGGGGTTTCCTTGTAGCACAATGACTTGGCAGGCAGAAGTCCTTTTCCAGGTGGTGATGGATGCACTAGACTGAAAAGTCACCCAAGAGTTCAGGATGCAGTCATACAGTTTGACTACATCATACTATATGACTTTTACAATGCTCACTCAGTGAGCATTGGTTGTGGGGGTTAGTACTTTCTTCCCTGAAATGTTACAATGAATGGTAACTACTGCATCACCATTCTTGAGGACCACCTGCTGAATATTTTCAAAATTCATGGCTGCACCACCCTTATGCATGATAGTGCCCCATTTCACAAGACCAAAAAAGTTACAAAGTGGCTTGCTGAGAAAAATAATGAGGTTTTACAGTGGCCAGGGAACAGACAGGACCTCAATCCTATTGAGAATGCCTGGATTTATCACGAGCAAGAACATGGAATCCCGCCACATTTTGCTCAAGTCGTGCCTGTAGCAGCAGATTAAGGACAATTGGGTCAACCAGTTATCTGCTGATTAAGTTGGACCAAAACGTCGTTATAAACTTCTTTTTATGTGCGGGTTATTTGTTTATCTACTGATTACTTCAGGAATCTGAGCAAAAGCATGTCCAAATAGCTTCAAATGGTCAAGGCCAAGGATATGACAAAATATTAATGTAAGTGCCAAGTACTACAGTTTTTATCCTACGTTTATATTGTTGTTTTTTTTTAATTATTTTTTAATACAAGGTAGGTCCAAATTATTTTTTTACAGACCATGTAATATCTGTAATTCTTTTTACAAAGTGCTGAACTTCAAATAGTGATAAGTGCAAGATCATTGGATGCTGTCCTTGTTTCACACACACTACAGTAATACAAGTGAAACAGCATACCGCTCTTGTAGTAGGACTAATGATTCATCAGCAAGATAATTCTGGGATCTTTAGCATATTACCTACTGTAAAACTGTACATCTATAAAAATCACAAATCCAATTTTTTAGTGACATACAATACATTGTGCTTTTGACACAAGCTAAAAATCAGCTTCAACATACCGTTTCCTTAACAGCAACAAAACCATGGCACATCCACCGCCTTGTTGTTCCATCTCGACATATATATGAGAATCCTTTTTCGTGGTTTCTATCGGGTGCGCAAAACGACACTTTCTCTATCGTCTGGTCTACAATAAGTCCCTGGAACATTTTACAGGTGCTATACATAATATGCTGCTTGAATGAATTACAGTATTATTATAAAGTAAAAAAAAAATATATTTTACACTTTGTGCAAGATAAAATTCAAAATCCAAGTAGTCACAAAAGATTCTGCAACCTTAATCCTAATTTGGCACATAAGAAAACTTTAGATAATGGTTATAATTAAGGATGGATTGTGAGCAGTTTCTGAAAAAAGGAATAAAGATGTACATGGGTAGATGAGTGAAGTTGTACGTAGATAAAACGCAAAGAATTTTATACATTCTCATAAACCGCTTCCAAGAAGTCACAAAGGTCAATTTCATTCTGTTTCAGAACAAAAAATGCTATAAGCAGGTTCAATAGACATTCTCTGTAAATACAAGCCATTTCTAGTTTAGGGCTAAATTCTTTAATAAAAAAGTACAGAATGAGGATAAAAACGTAGGTGCATATGCATACATGTGCGCACACGTACTCTCATATGTAGCTACAGGGGTCAAGTTTCAGCTCCAGGGCCCCACCTCTCAACTTGCTGCTCTCCAATCCTAACAAGTTGAGAAGTGGTGACAGGAGCTGAGACTCTACCCCTGCAGCCACATATAGGTGTGAGGAGATAGAGGGGGAGTAGAAGGGAGAATGAAGGAGAGGAAGATAGAAAGAGAAGGGAAATAGGGAGGGAGAAGGAGGTACTATGAGAAGGGGGAAGAGAAAGAAACAAGAGAGAAAGAGGAAAAGAAAGAAAAGGAGAGGGGCATTGAACCAAGAGTTCAAATGAAACAAATACATAGTACAAAAAAAAAAAAATGCAACAGTAGAGGAAAGAACTGTATGCTAATAAACATCTTGTATGAATGAAGATTATATATAAATAACCCACACAGAGAGAAACTTACGACGTTTCTGTTCACCTTGGACCATACTCTCTCCAAGCAGACTGAAACGTCATCACAAGTTTCGGTCTTCTATGTGCAGGTTATCTGTGTATTGTTCCAGTCACGGTTTTGTGCCTTTTTATTCCTATATGAAGATTATAATTCTGTTATACACAAGCTAAAATAAAAATGCAGACAAGTATTTTCACTGACCATCAATACATATGCTGCTTATGTGACACTCCAACCAAACCATTTAAGATTTTATTAATTAGTATATAAAAAGTTCACTACAAAACTGGCAAAACAAAAAAAAAAAAAAAAAAAAAAAGATTTATCATAGCTTGTTTATGTTTTCTTTAAACTTACCTTAGTTTCATCATCTACAACACGAAGTCCATCACCAGACACGTAAAGCATGCCTCGTATAGGTCTTCGGCGAGAATTCTGCAAGTCAAGCATTCTGTTATTCATTGATGAATGCTCTACACTTATATCAGATTACTAATGTATTACTGAATGCTCTGAAAGAATACAGTATCTTTTTTTTTTATTAGTATAGGTATTATAGCAGTATGCTTGCTTTGTATCTTTATTTAGTCATTATATATTGCTTTAAATTAAAATAGAGAGTGTAGCTCTAAGTATGGAACAGAGTTCAGAAAATGCACGTCATTTTCTTCTTACCACTAAACGTATTACAAAATAGAATTACCTCTATAATTCAATAAATAAATTTGTCAATTACTATTTACTTTTTTGAACATCTAATCAGAAAATTCAACTGACAAAAATGCTTGGTTCTCAAGGTCAACTCTCCAAACTCTGCTCATCTACAAAGGGCATTCAGGCTTTTTTTTTTTTTCTTCAGTCACTAACCGATTTGTTTGGATAATTTCATTGCATATCACTACTGTTTGATTATGTAGGATTAATACTGAAGTTTGATTGGAATGCTAGTTTATTTATTTATTTTTTAATTTTCAAAATGATCACCAGTACTTTACAAACCAATGGAAATAGTATCTGCACAGCACACACAGCTCTCCTATTCTAATCCAAATTAAACAGTACATCACTATATCCTATAAATCCAATACTTAATATTCGTTTTTGCAATTTTCTTCACATATTGCAGCTATTTTCATGGCCTTTGTAAATTTAAGTACAGTACGACATTAACAACTTCTACACCCTAGGCTCAGTTCCACCTAGCATGTTCACATATCTGTAATGCTGCCTAAGTCATAGTAACCAAAAAACAGTATTGTATATCATATGTCATTTGTAAATATACTATTTCTTTGTAGAGGACATGACCTATAAAATGCTCCTTTGTAAGAAAAAACAAAACTATTTTATATCCGTTGGTGTAGGGGCACTATCGTGTCTCATAAATGATATACAATTTTAAACTATTATATCTAAAGACTTATTTGTATAGAGAAATAATTTTTACCAGTAATGTCTTTCACAAAGTCCAGATCTTGACACAAAAATCACTATCTAAATTTTTGGAAAATCAGGCTGAATGCTCCCCTTCAAGAGAGAAATAAAAAAATCCCTTCTGTTAACACCTCCAATAATGCAGGACATATATGTACAGTACTTGAAAACTTCAATTTAAATTCCTGTATCATATTCACCGTTTCATTCTTCACGCCCAACACTGACAGTTGCTTTTTTGCATTAGCACAATATATTAATAAGATTATGCAAGATATTTACCCTGAGTACCTTAAGAGCTTCTTCGCACACCTGCATTCCTCGTGACTCGAAGACTTCTACACAACCTAGGTACTGAAATATGGTAGTTTAAGTTCATCACATAGAATTTAGTGCATGCAAGCAATTTATTTTAAAATTTGCATAAAATGTTAAATAACAGTAATGTAAACTATAGTAGCACAGTAAGTATAATTCAAGAAGACAGGAGTTAAATGTTGATTTTAAAAAGCATACTCAACCAAGGACCTCAGTCTTTTGCAGCTCTATATCAGAAAAATAAAAATTTTATATTGCACAGCATGTTCATGTGAAACCTAACAAAATATATGCATAGTAATGTACAGTATTAGTTAAAATTAACAGTTAATAAGTAAATAACATTTTTTACAAAATATTTAAATACATTTCAAAGTAGACATTGCTTTAGCAGTGCCCTAGTAGGTCAATACTGTTTGAAATTATATTTTTAACAAATTACAAAGCAGTACTGAGGGACTGAAATTAAGTCTTCTACCTAGTTGACACAGTTTTTCAACAAAAAGGCATTAAGACCTGTATAAAGACAACAAAACCTCAGTATAAAGGACTTAATATGAGAGATAGGATGTCCATTTCATCAAATCAGTTGCAGTGATATGCCTGATGCAGTGAACTTTGTTAAATGAGAAGCCTACCCTCCCTGCCCCCAACTCTCACTCACTCACTCACAGATACACAGACAGACACAGACACACACACACACACAATTACTGTTAAGCTCTTGCACCTCCGTGAGAGGTGTTCAGATTACTTGCCTTGGTGAGGGCAAGCTACTTGTTGATCTTAGTGCGTCTTTCCGTTATCTTTGTGTGTGTGTGTGTAGTGTTCTCGTTTATTTTGAGTGAAAGGGGAAAGAGATAGAGGGGAAGGGAGGGGAAGTTAATATAATGTAGCAATTAAATCTATTATATCTAAGTAATTTATCTCTAAGCTTGCTGTTAGGCTGTACTGTTGCCTGTTTATGATCGAAGGCGTAATTGAGATTTTCCTCGTAATTAGCACAGACTAATTTGGTCGTATATTTTAGTTGGAACAGCCATTTAACCGAAGCGTCCGAGTAACTGGGTACCTAATTGAGATTTAATTCAAGCGTCTTTTTGGGGAGGGCTTTTAATTGGAACCCACTAATGCTTAATGGGAAGTAGCTTCTTCGGAAAATTATTAATACGTTGTAATAATTACAAAATTCGTGCAATTGCATGTGTTTCTCGATCGTCCGTTTAATAGGGACGTGTCTCACGTGCTTACTTTCAAAAAATATCTACATGATTTTTTGTGATGGTTTACTAGAGGACGTCAATGCGAGCTGAGTGTTTGTATAATAGATTAACGCTGATCTTTCGGACGATTACTTAATTCTGAATGTTCAGAGGCTTCACATGTCCACATAATTGGGCAAACTCTTGTTCGCTAGATGCTTACAAAATTATGGTCCTTGTTACGATAGTTTCCCAGGCTCGTGTTCGCTCCATGTTTACAAAAATATTTTCTGGCTACGATGATAAGTTCCCCTTAATTGGCATGTTCCCATGTAATATCCAGGACGCTGAAAATTGTTCCTTTTGTTGGTACATCTACACAGTTTCCTCCGGAAAGTACGTGATCAGCCAGGCTGTTGTACACACACACACACACACACACAACCAGGAGTTTGGACTCGACCCCTGCAACCTCAACTGAGTACACACGCACACACACGCACGCACACACACGCACACACACACACACACACACACACACACACACACACACACACACACACACACAAGCCATAACTTGAAAGGAAAGACTAACTCACATAATATGTCTTTTGCAATTGCAACAGTAGTGTGGGATAAAGAATAAACAATGGAATTATCAGAACCCAAAAACTGTTAGTTCCAAAAAAAAAAAAAAGTGCCGAAAATGTTCTATATTAAGCTCTCTTAAATTATTTATTAAACGTATTTATACTTAAAGATATTCAAGTACTATCCCGGGGTAGCAAATGTGGGAAATGGAAAGAAGGGAGATGTATCAGATGTTGATACAGTCACAGGAAACTTTAAATGATCAACATTACTACATTATGGAAGCAAAGAAACCCTTGCCATGAGAACAACAGCATTTTTATCATGCACTCAACAAATGGAGGGTTGAAAGCCTCCACCACTCATTGTGGCGAATCCTTCAGTATACTGATATAGTTAGTGAATTCTATGTTAAAAAAAAAATCATCTTGTCCATGCCCTAACACTTGTAACCCCCCCCCCCTCTCAATATGAAGTCCAGGCTTGAAGTAATGATTTTTAAATACAAAGGCAGACAGACAGCACTGTACTGTACTGTACTGTCACACTAAAGAACACCAAAGGCTTTTCACTTTAAGCAAGACACGAGAGCCAGTAAAACTGTCCCACTTATATAGCGACCCTAAAAAATAAAGACCCATAGTACACAACTTGATATAAATGAATTTACTTAAAAATGAATTGAACATTTACGTGGCAAGACTTAAAATGATCTGGTACTGGGGAGGACATATTACAATGAACTGACTTTTCTGGCAAGGCATGCAACTCCAACTTTGCATAGAACTGATATATTTATTATATCTTAATCAGTTACATATAAAAAATTCCCAGTAAATTTTGCCTTATTTTTTTTAATATTCTCAAAGGCATCCATTTATTAAACCATTACAGGTTCACTTTGTCATTTAGTACCTTCGATATCCATTACAGATTTTAATGTCAAGAAAATATTTATATACTGTACTGTAGAGTACTCGAAGTGGTCTGTAAAACGAGTGGAGGCAAAACTTCAAAACTGTTGCTTAATTGGTCTCTCAAATGAAGGTTTCCATATCTGACAGTGGCGCAGTAGTATAAGCATAAAAATATGAACAATAAATATGCTTTCTTAAAAAATTTCAGTAATAATAAAGATTTTGGAACAGTTTTGGATAAAAGTGAATTGATTCTTCAATTCTATTTGAACAGCACTTTTAAATCTCTGGCTCATGCTTAAAACTGAAGTGTATAAAAATGTTGTCCAGAGTGCAGAAGTGGTTCCAGCTACCATATAATACTACTGGTATTATAATAACAATGAGCACAAGTGGCAAGTGCCATATATGTTATAAGGCAGGGTTAAAAGTAGCAATGAAATAAATAGTGTTCATATATGTATTGTACATTGCTTGATTATTAGGCATTAATGCTTTTCAACAATTCACACACAGTAGCATGAAAGTAAATAATATCTTTGTCTGTCTCAGTGCAACATGCTGCAAGGGTCAGGTGCCCTTATACAGTACATGTAGCCTTACTAAGAACAGGTTAGAAAGTCGTTTAATAATTACTTAAGCAGTAGTCATTGCTTATGTGTCTTCTGCTTGAAGTTTTGTCAAATAAGACCCACACAAGATGGACACCAGGCTGAAAGAGAAATAGTAATACAGATTCCACTGAACAGATTAGCACTGTTAGTTTATATCTGTTAAGAGATTAAATTGTCTACCATCAAGTCTTCCTTATACACAATATTAGTGTCATAAACACAGATCAGTGAAGAGGAAGAAACCATCTGGACTACTCTAAAATAGAAAAGATTCAAAGGCCAAAACACATATTTCCTCTTTCTTGGGTTTCAAATTTGTCCAAATGATTTCTCGCTTTTCTTGTAATATTGATGTATGTAGAAAGTGAGCCACTATCATTGAAACTTCAGAGCTAGTCAAGAGGAATCCAAGTTTATAATGCACCAACATAAGGTGCATAATTAGTATGGCATTTATAACCATTAAAGACTACCATTAAGGTGTTTCTGCCCTTAGATTCTGAAAAAAAAAAAAAAAAAAAAAAAAAACATACTCAACACTGACATTCCTTCTGTCCAATACCAGTACATTGGACTTGTTTAGAAGGAAATGATTATTCCACTATTCTTAGGAAGAGGCAAGAACAGTAACTGCTGAGACGTGCATCTTGCTCTTGAAGAAATCAAGGGATGTATTATGTATGAGAAATATTGGTGGCTAGGAGGCATCGTGAATACTCTTGCAAGACTCGAGAAAGCTAAGTGAGCTTCAACTCAGAGCCTTTCCCCATGCTTTTAGCAACAATCAACACATTTTCATTGTAAATACAGCATTGGCAAAAAGTTTTGGGTTTTTCCATCCCTAGTACATATGACGCCTCACTCTGTTTATCGAATGATTGCTGATATTTTTGGGGCTTCATCTTATCACTTGACATTAACTATGGCACCCAGGAGGATTATTAGCAATGCTAGAGGTACTAAGAAAGAATCTAATAGTACTGAAGAAAGTATAAATTTTAACATTCTTTATAGCGGTGCATAACTGCACTTATGATGCCTTGCTTTAAGAACTACATCCATCCACCTGAGCCCAGTAGGGCCAAACCAAACTTCTCCACACATTTCAAGATCACCAAGTACAGTATAATCAAGCCAAATTTAAGGTAAGAAAATTTTGTATGTAACCTTTTAAGCTAGATTACTGTATTTTATTAATGTAAATTTCATTACATCTAACTACAATGTGTAAGGTACAGGATAAAAAATTATTACTTTTGATGAATTACAAATAACTTATCTGGCTATTTTGGAGTCTTTAAGAACATAACTTTACTTCTACACGTTTTTCAGCCTGTTTAGCACAATTTCAAGAGCCATGCTATCTTTCAGAAAAGTAACTATTATACAGGACTATTTTTTTTTCCAGTTATACAGTAGAAAAAGAGGAATGGTTGGAGTCTTTAAAGAAAAGTCATATTTTAAGCACAAATGCCACAGCAGCTTATCTTAGATACACATTACTATTTAGAAAGGTC